AAATGTGTTGGTTTAGCATGTGTTTTAGAATCAAAACTCTCCCCCCCACACACACACCTCTTCTCTCTCTTCTCTTTTTGTGCTTAACAGCACAAACTTTTGTCTGAGGGGGTTTGTGTGCCCCAGTGATGACCTTCTTTCTTTCTTTACTCTTTCCCCATTGTTCCTTTCCTCCCTCCTTTCCTGCCTTTTAGTTTTGTTTAAAAGGTGCTTTGGTTAAAAGGTGTTCTGTTTAGAACCCTTCCCCCTCCCTTCTTTCCTGCCCTTTTTTGACCTAAGTTTATCTAAGGTTAAAAGAAGAAAAATTCTCTCCCTAGTGGTAGAGGACGGATTAACCAGCTTTGCATTAGTTCCTATGGGCACTAATGCTTCGACGTAAGAACGGTGCCTCTAGATAAGAATGAAAAAGAGCCAGAACGGATTAAATGGTTTTCAATGCATTCCTATGGGAAATTTTGCTTTGACTTACAGAAATTTCGAGTTGTGGCCACCATTCCAATACAGATTAATTTCGTAATTTGAGACACCACTGTACATGGAGTAAGTGCTGAGCTTAAGCCCAAGAGCCCTTAAACTGAGAAGAAAACAACCCCTTCAAGAGAGGAGCAAGAGCCAAGCAACAAAGGAAAAGCGCTAGAACAGACAGAGAGGCTGAAGGGTCCAGGAGAACAGATGGCAGGTCCAGAACAGGGAATGAGGGACAGAAAACCAGAGATGACAGGACAAAAAGAAATGGAGCCAGAGGGTCTGCTGGAAAAGGCAAAAAAGAAAACAGAAGGGGAAGGGGAGGAATGAAGGGAGAGGAGAAAAAAGATTGGTGGAAGCAGGGGAAGCCAAATCATGTACAGTGGTGCCTCACATAGCGATCGCTCCGTGTAGCGACGAAATCGCTTTGTGACGGAGTTTTTGCGATCGCAAAAGCGATCGCTTTGCGATGGTCCCTATGGGTGAATTTCGCTTTGCGATGATCGCAGGTAAGCAATCATCTTAAAGCCCCCATTTTCGCACAGCTGATCAGCAGTTTCAAAATGGTCGCTGGGTAAACAAAATGGCTGCCCACTGTTTTCAGGCACGGATTCCTCGCTTTAGAGGCACCGAAAATGGCGGTGCTATGGAGGATCTTCGCTCAGCGGTGAGTTTTAAGCCTATAGGAACGCATTAATCACGTTTTAATCAGCTTCAGAACTGGAGAGAGTTTGCTAAGAGAGAAGAAAGGGTATGTGGAGGGGCAGGGAGACTCCATATTTTGCTCCATCCCCCATTCTCAAGGCCAATTTAATGCCAAAGATAAATAGGTGGAAGTTAGGGAAAAGGTAGTAGAGCAATAGCTGCTTATTGCCCCACTATCATGTCCACTCCATCAGGACTGGGCACTTTTCCTAGAGGTCCTATCTCTGCAGTGAAGCAAATGTTAGCCTACAGAAAACACCAGCTTCTATTTGTAACATCTCCAGAAAGGTCTGGGAAAACTACTTAAAACTCTAGATAATGCATTCTGCTAGTCACTGCCAACAATACAGTGGGGTCTCTACTTAAGAACGTCTCTGCTTAAGAACAATCCAACTTAAGAACAGCTCCATTTGCTAAATTTTGCTTCTACTTGAGAACAGAAATCCAAGATAAGAACAGGAAAAAAAAACCTTTCCTGCTCTTTTTTTAATCTTAGGTCATCTTAGGTTAAAAAAAATTCTCCCCCTAGTGGTAGAGTACGTATTAACCAGCTTTACATTAGTTCCTATGGGAACTAATGCTTCAATGTACGAACGCACCTCTACATAACAAAAAAACAGCCAGAATGGATTAAATTTGTTTTCAGTCCATTCCTATGGGAAATTTTGCTTCAACTTAAGAACGTTTCAACTTAAGAACACCATTCCAAAATGGATTAAGTTCTGAAGTACAGGTTCCACTGTAGTTTCTATGGACGGAAAAAAGCAGATACGGATTAAATGGTTTTCAATGCATTCCTATAGGAAATGCAGATTCAACATAAGAACTTTTCAACTTGAGAACCACCTTCCAATACCGATTAAGTTCTTAAGTAGAGACCCCACTGTACCAGGTTAAATGCATGAGTTCTCTGACTTCTGGCTAGAATATCATACTTAAGAAATGATTCTGAGGACTTCCCATTCACAGTTTCAAATAGATACATGAATGGCAGGATCTAACTCTGAATGAAACCAACATTCAGCCTTCAACTGTGATGACATCATGCAGAAAGGACACTAATGAATGCTCCCTAACCACACACTTCAGGGAAGATAGGTCCCAATATACTGTAGTTGTGTCACTGCAATCATCAACTATTTTACTGTTTTCAACTGGCTGCTAAGAAGGCCAAAAAAGTATGGGTATCTAATTTAGTAGTAGTATTAGAAGTTGTTTTAGATATATTGGGAGATTACTGTGATCTCCAAATGCTCATATATGTATATACTACGAAGCCTAGAATGTGTAGAGGCATGGTGAATCTGACTTTTGCAGATGGTAAGCATGCCCACAACGTCTGGAGCCTCTTTTGTAAGTTTGAAGGTAGCGCAATATTATTTAAATGGAGAACGCATATAAATTGACCCAACTCCAGGAGGCCGTGGAAGACAGGAGGGCCTGGCGTGTTCTGGTCCAGGGGGTCACGAAGAGTCAGACATGACTTAACGACTAAACAACAAAAATATAATCCATTCAAACACCAAGTTCAAACCAGCTATAAAACCTACCTGCAACAAATATGAATAGTGGTAATATGACCTCAAATACAAAGATCCCCTTATTGGAGGAAAAATTCCAAAAGAGTCTGATCACTGTT